AGATTGAATAATTCATAGATCCAAAGTACCCTGCCTTACCTTCCATTTAAACTGGGCATGATCTGAATCTCTAATAAATTCTCAAGATAAAGTAAAATGCCAATTTGAATCTGAAGAGCTTTTAAAAAGCAGATGTCGCATCCCTGAATCTTTCGGTATCTTTCACAATTACGCTCTGAGAACTGCACTTCATGACGAAGCACCATTAGTTTCAGAATGACTGTGATTACAATAGTGACAAAAGAATGCCATCAAATGATCTCTAATCTACCTAATTTGCTAAGACTGACTGTGGCTTTAATACGCATTGTATGTCGCCATGCCCAGGGTCTGTGGATCTATCTCTCGACAGAACAGAAAATGGTGTGGGTGTGCCACCTTAACTCGGAAAGCCTGGCGGACAGCAGTCTCCAAAGTCACGTGTCTTTTTCATTAGCTTTTCTAATGCTTTGCCCTAAATGCTTATTGAGGAGAAATTGTGAGCCTGCCTTTGCTACGGAACAGTATTGACTTGTTAATTTATACACACTCTTTATCTTAATATATACAAGCATGTGTTTACTGGAAGGAAAGACGGCTTCAGTGCTGGGCAAGAGATTTAAACAGCCATACGGGATGGAGTATACATGCTCACTGCTTCTTCAAAACCCTGTTTCCAGGTGAAATCCTTTACCTGGAGCTATGGTTTCTGTGTGGTGTGTTGAAAGTCCTCCCTGATTGCAAAGCTCAGGTTAGCAGAGTCAGCAATAATCCCACCCAGCAATTTTGGAAAGGCCGTGTGCCCAGTTTCATGATGTATCTGGGCTCTGGTGACTCGTGTGTGCCTGCTCCGTGTGCAGAGAAGTCTGTGATAGAGAGAACTTTTTGTCTGACAGTCTGTTCTGTTCATCTCAGGACAACTGTGCCACTCAGAGAAGGTGACCCGGAGTATCCATCCTCCCTGGGGGAATAGAGCAGAGTCATTTAGTGGGTTCAGGGGCTACTAGGATTGTCCAATACCACAGAGATGGACTGGGCTTCCTGCCAGTGATGCCTCTGCAAGTGAGTGTCTCAGGCAGGGACCTGTGTGTCTGATACCATTTGGGAAGAAGGTCTCAAATCCCTTTCTCATAATGTGGGGGTTTTGCCTGAGACTCAGCTCTGATGTTTTCCTTGAAAACCCATTCTCTTGACTTGACCGTTCCTGTATGTTCCCTCTACCTAGTACCCTGTCATGAGGTAAGTTGTGCTTCTGGTCATTTATATAACCAAGTGTGTTCTTTATTGTCTGATTAGGAGGGGGATGTGCTTTCTTACGCTGCCTTTCCCTTCCATTTGACTGTTCTCACTAAGCTGGGGCAAATACAACTTTTTATTTCTGTTTTTCTGAGTGCAGGTGAAAATGTGGCATTTAGAAGAGTGATATAAATGTTGTGTTCTGTTTTTCTGGCTAAGTACATCCAAGGTTTTGATGCTTTTTAAAGGAAAAGAAGTGGTTTCACATAGTGAATACTTTGTTTTAAAATAGTAAGCAACACAGGGCTCATCAGTTCTGTCACAGTACCGCTTTCTTCAGATGGTTCACATTCCTTTCTAACATTGGGCTATTTTTCTTATCGTCCTAGAGGAAGCTTCAGTACTAGTGACAAAAGGCTTTTGAAAGCCCACATGGCATGTGCACTAGCCTTTCCTTTTTCTTTTAAATTAAAACATAATCTTGATTTTTCAGCACAGGATTTTTAACTTCTGATACCTTACATCGTTTTAATGGTCAAAGTTTGAGTAGGATAATCACCGAGTGAGCTGATGGGTTTATCTGTCCAGTATTTAAGTCATGTAGGTGCTTAATATTATCTGAGAATAATTGGAACTCAGGCTTATGACTTTTGAGGACAGGCTCATCAGAAACTAATTTTATTTACTGAATCAGAATAAGAAAAATGGGATTTACTGTTTAACAATGAGAGCATTTAGACGTCATAGTCTCAGCAGATGAGGATTTATCTGGTTTCTTTAGGATGCAGGTACAGAATACTCACCTTTTGTATAAAAGATCAGTAAGAATTTACTCATGTGCTAGTGCTTGAAGATTTGAAATTCTCACTTGTTTTACCCCTCATTATATAGGGTTTTGAGGTAGCTTAACGATCTTGACACCATGAGTCCTTCGAAATCAAGTTTTCTTTTCAAACTTACTGAGATGATTAAGTATACATTAAGATTTTTTTCTAAAATAAGTTCATTAGATAATTTTAATCTGCCATTAACAATTTGTCACTATTTATAGATTTGTCTTATTTACAATGTCCTAGATAAATATAAACACGTGAGAAAGCTTGCAAGAGTAACTATGCAATTGGAGATAATTTGCAAAGAAGGCATCATTGTGAGATTATATCAGCAGGGGTTAATTTAAGAGACACCTCATACATGAATGGTTCAGTCTATATTTTAGGTTTTTGTTTTGGAGGTTTTACTTGTATTTTTTAAAATTCCTTTTTGGTGAGCCTAAGAAATTCCCTCACTCCATTCTTTCCAACACCCAGAGAATCAACTACAATCACAATGACTGAAACTTGAAATCAACCCCCAGAAATCCAGTCCTAGAACTCACAGAACAGACTCATACTCTGAGGAAGAATGTATAGATTGTGTCACTTGATAATTAAGGATGTTAGCATCCTGTCATGAACATGTGCTAGTGTATGTGACACTCCATCTCATTATTAAAGTCCACTTTGGAGCAAAACCCCAAACTGAACTAAACTGAAATTCTTCACAGAGAATCTGGACTGAACATCTGTGAAGTCCTTGAATGCTATGGTGAATGCATTTCATAGATAAGCAAATTGAATATTCATCACCAATGCTCATGGCTAGATTTCTCTAATTAAATTACTGTACAAGAACCATGGCATAGTACATTTCCCCCTAAGTTTTAAGTAGGAGGTAATGAAACATGCCTTTACCAATTACCATTTGTGTGTGTGTGTGTGTGTGTGTGTGTCTGTGTGTCTGTGTGTGTGTGTGTCTGTGTATCTTGGCCTGTCAAACAGAACAAAAGGCAAGCCAAGAGAAGAAGCAGGTAAAGACAAAACTTTCATTATCCAGTGAGTTTTTTTCCCCCCAGTGGTATGACCAAAAGAGGTTGATATCTTTTTAAAAAAACTTTTTAAAGATTTTAAAATCATGTGTATATGTGTCTACGTAGGGGTATATGCATGTGTGTGCGGTTGCCTGCAGAGGTCTGTCACATTCACTGGAGTTATAGTTACAGGCAACTGTGAGCCACCCAATGTGGGTGCTGGGAACTGAACTCAGGTTCTCTGCAAGAGCAGTATGTACCTTTAACTGATGAGCCATCTCTTCAGCCCTGGGGTTGGTAGCTTAGGTCTACAGGGTGCTTTTTAAAGAACCTGTTCTCTACAGTAAGAATGCTCCCAACATTTTATTATGAAAATTTCAAACATGTAGAACAAAAAAGTTGTGAACGTATATACATATATCAACTACCTAGACTCTATAAATACACTCACTGCTGTCACTCTATCACACATCTATGTAATTATCCACCCTGCTATACAACCATCAATCTCTTTGTTTTTGGATGCATTTCAAAGTAAGTTGCAGACATCAATACACTTTGTCCCTAAGGATATGCTGCTGAAATGTTTAACTAGATTCAACATTTGTTTACAGTGCTCTCCTTTAAATAAAGTTTGCATAGGATAGGGATAGAATTTTTGAAAAGAAAAGCACTATTGATTTTTATTTATTTTATTTGTGTATCTTGACTTTTTATGTGTCAAGAGTGTTTTGCCTGCATGTAAGTGTACCCATGTGTGCAATGCCCATGGAGGCCAGAAGAAGATATTAGCCCTCCTGGAACTGGAGTTATGGATGGTTGTTAGCTGCCATGTAGGTGCTAGGAACCCATCTGGGGTCCTCTGCAAAAGCAGCCAGTGCTCTTAACTGCTGAGCCATTTCTCTGGTCCCCACTGTTGATTTTTAAATTTTTTATTTATTTTATTTTTATGTATGTGAGTGTATGTTCTGCACGTATATAAATGCACCTGTGTCATGCAGTGCCCATAGAGGTCAGAAGAGGGCGTTGGATCCCTTGGAACTAGAGTTGCAGACAGTTGTTAGCTGCCATGTGGGTGCTGGGAATTGAACCCAGGTCATTTACAAGAATGGCCAGAGATCTTAAACACTGAACTATCTCTCCAGCCCCCCTGCCCCCGACCCCATTGATTTTTATGTGGCACAAGCTATCTCTTATATGTGAAGAGTGTCTGGATGCACAAATCTCTCAATGTTGATAAAGAGAAACTTCTTCAAATAGAAGTAGGGGGCCTTTCCCCAGCCTTAGTCTCTATACCGGACTTCACCCATCAAGACCAGGGACAACTGGTCACCCGCCACCATCATACTGAGGTGGGCCAGGTGTCAGGACACACACCTTAGCTATTCCCAAGACATTTCTTATTCCTGGACCAGGTTTTCTTTCTCTCTCCTGCAGGCTCACGAGAAGGAAGCCAGTGGCCTATCGAATGACCACCTGAACTCCCCTCTCTTTCCTCCCCCACTCCCTCCATATCTGTCTTTCACTTTTCTGTATTTTCCCAACTCCTCTTCCCTCCCTACCCCTCAAATACAAGGCAACAAATTTACTCATTTTTTTTTCAGGTCATTCTGTTGTTCAGAGTTTCATGGAGATGGTTATAGGAGACAAAAATGACGGACCGAGGAGTCACAAGATCTCTTAAAGGGATTGGTTTCTCTTGCTCTTAATTAAAACAGGAGTGATTGAAGATTGCCCTCTCAAGACCTCTTCACTAATTCATCTCTTGGATCTAGTCTTGTGCATGAGATTTATCCATTCCTCCCTCTGGTGAACTCCGCACCAACCTTCTCTAAGATCTGGGTCAGTGTGGCTCCTAAAAGAAGAGACTTTTTCTTTGCTTCCGACATCTGCACTGCGGAGTGTCATAAATGGTGACTTCTGTGGGTAGCTCTAGTGCAAAGCATTTTCATTCAGGAGCAGCACGAGGTCTTGTGTCCTTGTCCCTTGCTTCTAAACAAGGAGCTTTCCAAAGTCTCCTGTCCCAAGCATGGTGCCTGCACCCGTGTCACCTGCTACTGGTTATGTCCCTCAAGCCACTGTTCCACCTTCAGCTCAGCATGCCCTAGGAGGTCTTTGGATGGCTAACACGGGTCTGAAATTCCTCCCACTTTCCTATGCTTATAAAGTGATGCTTAAATGCTGCAGACGATTAGGAGTTTAGGCTCCACAGCTAGGCACATTGTCTAGCCGTCTTCTCAGCTCTGCAAGCGCATCCGCAGCTCAGCTTCAGGCAAATTCAACTTCACATCCGCAAAGTGTTGCTGTGATTTTTAAGTGACATACATATTCTAGATATACACCATCTGCAATATCCGTATGTATGTTTCCCATAGCACCTGACACCTAATTCACAATCGCTACATGTTAGTGTTGTCATCAGATCAACAGAAATTGATATCCTAGGCCTCCGTTGGGCCGTCTCAGACGCTCAGAGACTGCCCTTTCCTCCCCCCACGTCCACATTTGCTTATCCTAATGAACCTCCCATGAGTGTTTTCTGTTTTCTGAGGTCTAAAAGTACTCCTGGCTTTCAGCTCAGGGTGGAGCCCAGGGAGAGACTGAGCCCTGCTAGGTGAGTGCTCAAAATCTTTGTGTGCATGTGCACGTGGACGTCAGGGTTAACCTCTCGTATCATTCCTCAGCTGTGTCCATCTTGACTTTTCTGTTTGCTTGGTTTTATTTCAGACAGGGTCTCTTACTAGGGCCTACGACTGGCTAGTTACGCTAGCTTGGCTGGTCAGTGAGCCCCAGAGATCCTCCTGTCTTTGCCTCTTAAGGACTGGGGCTTATTTCTCCTTTCCTCTTTCCCGTCCCTTTTCGTCCCTTCCCTGCTGAGATTGAGTCCATGGTCATGTGCCCATTAGGCAAGTGCTTTGCCACTAAGCTTATCCCCACCCCTTCCTAATTCTTTTCGTCCCAGGAAATGTAGCAGATGACTGAGGTTATCTCAGGGAAACATGACCCTTAGAGCTAGCAAAAAGGATGACTTGCCAGACCCCGTACCTTACAGGGACTTGCTCTGATACTCGGCTTGCTCTATCATGGTCCTTCTCACAGAACAAAGAATCACTGGAGGAAGAGGACATGCCTGCCCAGAGCCTGTGATGCTCTGCGTCTACGAACCCTGGAGTTCTATGCTCCCTACATGGATCCCAAGGATCATCCTCCTAAAGATGAGCTATGCTGCCAGTGGGTGTCAGGCTGAAGGCCACATACCACACTGATAGACATTTCTGGTATGGAATGCCGCAGAAGGAGAATCCTAATTTGATTTTAGTTTGAGGAATGTGTACTTAGGAGAGTAACGGAGGAAAACTTGTATTGTTAGCATGCTGGTTTAATGTGAGATTTCACTACATATAATGTCAAGGACATGCGTGGAAGCCCCTCTCTGTTCTCTTGCCCATCAAGGTCTTACAAACATTAGGCTGTGCCAGAACTTGAAGAAGCACTTGGAGGTTCTTGGTTCCCTAAGAAATCTGTTGGTATGTAGTTGTATTTGTGGGTAGCTAAATTTTCAATATTAATATATAGGGAAGAGAAATCTACAAAGGCCATTCCCTTGTTAAGGTTTACAATCCCTCCCCTCCCCTCCCTTCCCCTTCTTTCCCTTCCCTCCCTCACCTCCCTTCCCTCCCCTCCCTTTCCCTCCCCTCCCTCCTCTCCCTTCCCCTTTGAAAGTTTCAGAATTCCCAAACTATAAAATTTCCATGTTATATTTATGTGTGCTATAATAAGTTAAATAACTATCTCCCCCTCTCATTCTTACTGCCTGCATACCAAAAAGGTAGACTGTTTTTTGCACTTGATCTAATCCCAAATCCAGCAGCCTGCTGAATTCCAAAGACAGTGGTTAATATCACCACAACAAAGACTAGGGAGATACAGGAATCAGTGTTTTGAGCTTTAAAGACACAATCTACCAGCTGACATGCCAATGGGATGGGAAAATCACACAAGGGCCTGCCCCTAGTGAAGAGGTACAGGCAGTTGACAACTGCTGAGGGAGGGTCAGTTTTCTCCACTGATGAGACTTTCTCCACTGATGATAGGTTATCCAATCCCAAGTGGTCTCTAAATATAGGCACATATGAGTAATACTGAATGGGCTCAGTGTATCATATATACATATATATACATATACATATATATATATATATAATATGTGTGTATGTGAGCCACCTGTGTATATATACACACATATGTGTATATTTACCAATCATAATTATAGAAGATGTCAAGAACCCAAGAGGGAGTAGAGAGACAGAAGGAGAAGGTAGAGGCGAGAGAGGAAGGGGGGAAATGATGTCAATGCACTACAGTCATGTATGGGATTCCAAAATACCAAAAAAATTATTATGAAAAACATGAAGACACAATCTCACTTACCCTGTTCTGAATTTAGTAATAAACAGGTGAGTTTAGAAGGTAGAAGTTAAAGACTTAATACTCAATGGGGGGGACACTCATTGTTTCATAAAAATACAACTTGGAATAATATTCTCACTTGGATTTTTGAAAGAAAATTCAAGGAATGAAGCGAATAAAAGATTTAGGAAATATTTCCCTAATGATGTGCCAGAGACATGGTAGTGTTCATACAGGAAGTCATGGAGCTGTGTTGTTTAATGCAGTGGGAATTAAGTGCCAGAGGGGCTGATACAATGGAGTTGGACCCAGGCTGCCAGGACCTGAATTCTGGCTTTGCTACTCCCTCTCTGTGTACCTGCTTGTTGTGTGACACTATCCCTGGGGAGACATGAACAGACCTCTATTTCCCCCAGATGGGAAACCATCAATGGGCCACAGTAAGGGTACCACCAAGTCCGCCTTGGTGAACCACTGAGTTTACCAGGCTTATTTACCAAAGTGTGGGTGGCAGGTCATGTACAGGCACAGGAATCACTCACAGACAGCTGTATTATCAAAAGCCCACCCCAGCATGGGTGGCATGCCACAACAAAAGCTGGAAACCTGGAGCCCTGTACAGCTTGCAGACAGTGCAACAGGTTGAAGAGTGTCCTTTCCAGGGAGCTCAGTTGGTCTGTGCCTCTTGTAGGCACTTGGATTTGTCTGAATGTCTCTCAGCAGTCTTTAGCACTTATATAAACTTGGGAAGGAAGGGGTCTAGGGAACTGGTCAGTTTCAGGGACTTCCTAAAGCTTTTGAGTTGTTTACTTCCTGAATTTAATAAACTTCCCTGCAAGATGGAATATCTTGTCTCCCTTTAGGACATTCTGTGTTTTAGTGAGCATCTCTCCAAGAACATTTTGTCTCTTAATGATGGATCCTCCAAGATGGAAGATTTTATTTCAGAGGAAATTGCTGCACTTGTGTGGTTAGGTTGTGGTTTGCAATAGCCCAAAACCCAAGTTCAAAGTTGGTTGCTAAGACTGTTACTTTGGGAGAGATTAATGTCTCTATTGTGATTACTGTCTCTAGATTAGTTCTCACAGGGATGGGTTGAGAGCGGGTGGTTACCAAGGGGTTAGGTTGAGAGCGGGTAGTTACCAAGGGGCTAGGTTAGGGGTTAGGTGCTTGCCGGAAGCCAAGCAGATGCTGGTGTCTGGCTCTTGGGCTTCCAGAACTCTGAGCCAAATGAACATCATTTCCTTTAAAAGTTACTCCAATTCAGGTTGTCTGACACAGCAGTAGAAAAGGCTAACCTCAGTGAGGCTTTAATCCTTTGCTGCTGCTCCATTTTCTTGAAAAGTGGGGAAAATGGAATCTTCCTCATTGGGGAGAAATAAGGATTTGCTTAGTATTTATGCAACCAAAGAGTGCCTGGCATGTTTGGAGTTTCAAAAATAAACTAAAACTTAAAAGATGACAAAAACTGAAGTCCAGAAAAGTTATCAACTTGTTCCCAAACACACAACAAATTAGTAAAACATCTATGATTCAAGAAAGGCATTCAAATGTCAGGCTGATTTTGGAAAATTACCCATTGCCCAAGAGCTAATTTTGGTCAAAACAAAACACGTTTGTATCATTTTCTCTATCTCTAAAGAAAAAGCAAAAAGAACTTTTCAAGTTCATTTATTTTATTTTTTAAACTATTTTATTTATTATTTTATTTTACATGTGTGAATGTATTACCTGTGTGTATGTAAGTGCACCCGTATTGGGTAATGCCCACAGAGGTCAGAAAAGAGTGTCTGATCTACTGGAACTGGAGGTATGGATGGTTGTTAGCTGCCATGTGGGTGTTGGGAACTGAACTCAGGTTCTCTGCAAGAACAGCCAGTTCTCTTAACCTCTGGACCATCTTTCCAGCCCCTCAAGTTCATTTTTCAAAAAAATTTCGATTTTTATTAATATGTGTGTATCTGTGTGTCTGTATCTGTATGGGTGTGTGCACATAAGTGCAGATGCCAGGGAAACCAGAAGCTTCAGATGCCCCTGGAGCTGGAGTTATAGGCAGGTGTGAACTGCCCAGTGTGGGTGCCCTCAAATTCATTTAAAAATTCTCAGTAAGTTTATGTAGATGTCACTACTTCCCTTGAGTGAGTTAACTGCTCCAGAGAAAGGGCAAATCGCACGCAGGCACACGTGCACACACGCAAGCACACAAATCGCACGCAGGCACACGTGCACACACGCACAAGCGTCCTCGTACTGAACCGAGGAGTGTCATGATAAAAATAACACGGGGATATGAAGTAACTAATGAAATATACAACAGCACAAAGGGGAAGATAACTCCAGCCCTCTTATTCTTGAGCTAATCTCCAAGTCTCCATTACACGGTCTCGCATGTGTGCATGTGTGTCAGTTAGTTCTGAGCCTGGTGTTACATTGCATGCTCTGCCTCATTAAACTGTTTAAAAAATTTAGTATTACAAGGATATGTGCTAAAGATATAACTCAGTGGTAGATTGTTCGCCTAGTAAGCATGGCACCCTGGGATCTATGCCCAGCACGGATATATTGAAAAAAAAGGGAATGTGTAGCAGGTCTTTTTGGTGAAATGCCTGAGTGGAAAAGGCACTTGCCATACAAGTCTGAAAACCTGAATGTGATCCCTAGAACCCATGTAAATGTGGAAGGAGAATACTGATCGCACAGAGTTATTCTCTGACCTCCACATGTATATGGTGGCATGCATGTCCCCCCATCACGTGAATACACACACAATAAGTAAAAATCATATATAATATAAAAATCCAGGGAGCCAGGGAGATAGCATAGCATGTTGGGGTGCTTGCCTCCAAGCCTGACAAACGGAGCTGGATCCCCAGGACCCAAATATGGAAGAAAAGAATCGATGCTCGCAAGTTGCCCTTTGAAGTCCACATGAGCATGGTGGCACACATTACTCCCAAAATAAATAAGTAAATAAATAAATAAATGTAAAAAAACATTTGAAATTGAAAGAAAAGCCTTTAAGGAAAAAATATATACGTCCTAAATTCTGAAATACTTTACAAAACAAACAATGTAAAAAAACTGAACTTTTTAAACCTGATGTGGTGGCACAGTCCTTTAATCCTAGCACTTGAGAAGCAGAGGCAAGTGGATGCCTGTGAACTCAAGGCCAGCCTGGTATATATATAGAGAGTTCCAGGCCAATTGTAGGTACGGGGAGACC